GGGTATGAATACTTTTGCAAACCACTGTATAATATACAAAAATTATGTACGTCTCCCGGGGGCTAAGCCCCCCTTGTCCTTAAAACCTTGTGACACCCCTGTCTTACACTAACCAATGATCAGATTTATGAACTTGTTTGTTTCTCCTGCAGGTAGTGATGCTGAACGAAGCTTATTCCAGAGTTGAGTACCGAATCGACAGAGAAGGATTCGGCAGCGTTCCTTCCCTCATCAGATATTATGTTGGCAACAGAAAACCAGTCTCACAGGTAGCACTCAGATTTGTTTTCTTCTTTTCACACTTCTAGATTATTTTAAGAAACGTTGGCCTGGATTCCCCAGTCATCGAGGACTTCCAGATCYAAACAGTTGTTTTCTAAAAGAAGTTATTTCCAAGTTTAAACCGAAACGTTTTTAAGAGTTTAGGTTTTAAAATTGCCGTGCTTCGCTCCGCCTGACTGACTGACCTCGCCTTCTCTTGTTGTTGAACCGTTTTTCAGAAACTGCCATGTTGTATTTTTAGGAGCAGTCTGCACAATAGKTATGCAGAGCTTTAAGCCCCGCCCACTTTTCCTGAATAAAGTCAAAAGGTTGCATAAGCGTTCTTCAGTATAAAACAACTAATTGCGGCTAAATTATTAGAAAATGAAATATTTGAACGTGGAGCAGGAAGATGAGAACGATGTGAATCGACAAGATTGAACACCTAAAAAGCTGAACTCACATGCAAATCGCTCTCCTTCTCCCTTCTGAGGGTATTTATGGTCTTTGTTGTTTTGGTGCAGATGAGAGATGCTTTGGTTCCATAAACTGGTGTGAAACTGACTGAGGCTTAGAATCCAAACTGCATTCTGAGTTTTGGAAAGTGAAGCCTCATTAGAGAGGGGAGGGAGAGAGATTTGCACGTGAGTTCAGCTTGCATAAACAGATCAGTGAGCTGCATTTTAAAGGGTTTGAACTTCCACTTTTCAGTTTGAAATGAGGAAGTTTTTTTAGCAGTTTTATTTATTTTTAACATTTAAACGAAGGCTTTGTTTTAACAGAACATCTCAAATAAAATAAAAAAACTTTACACATCTGTGACAAAAATGATTAATTAAAAAAAACTGAAAAAACAAAAACAAAAGTGAAGTTGTTTGTTAAAAGAGTCTTCCTCCCCCTCTGAAGGTGGTGGACGCCATCATCTTCCAGCCRGTCAACCGGTCGATGCCGCTGCGCTGCTTGGAGGAAAAATACAGGCCGTCGAGCARCCACAAAGAGGCGGGGCTTACGGAACCGGAGAGGCGGGGCCACAACCGTCTYAGCCTCAACCTGACCAACGGGCACACGCACGGCAGCGCGCACGACGGCCCGCACTGCCAGGACGSGGCGTCGATCCGAAACAACCAGCTCAGGTTTGTGCAGCAGGAGTGACACGAACACACAAAGTTCACAGCAAACACACAAATTCCTCACCGGCTTTAATTAGAGCAGCTGGTCGGTTTYACAGTAACTCACTGAATGTGTTGTTTTGTTGGATCAGAACTGAGTTAAAGCCGGTGAAGCTTCAGGCGGAGCAGAATATCAGTTTTACAGAAACGAGCGAAGTGGGCGTGGCCAAGTGTCATCTTGAACACATGACCCCTCGTCGCACTTTATTTTGACCAAAGTGGCAAMAAMTGCWTCATTAAAATGATCTCAATCTCCAMAACGGACRTGAAAAGCAGCAGGCGSTGTGCGTTCCTTCAATTTCTTCAATTCYTTCAATCTTCCATAAAATAAATGAAGCTCTCATGTATGGGGTGCCATTTGTAAAATTATACAGTTAAAAATTACCAGCAATGTTTTGTTTTATTTAGCCTTTCTTTAAAAAAAGAAAAGTAGGGGTTCATTTTTCATAGACATGTTTTCACCATTTCATTCATACATTTATAAATGTCGA